ATATCATTTGGAATGATGCTATCTTCATTGCTATCCTTCTGTCTGAATTTGTAAGCATATGCATAAGCTGCTTAGCTTTTTAGTCTCTGCTGACACATGTGCCAAAAATGAATGGATCCAGACATCACATCGGTTGTTGAAAGACTGTTAGAACTCTGTGATTCTACCATAGAAGAAATTTGTATCTGTAGGTGATTATAGTTTGTTATTTACATTTTCTTTTGAGTTTTTGTCCTTTTAATTACACCAATATAAAACATAGCAGTGTAAAGAATAAATATTATCAGATTTTCCAAATATTCCGACTATGTTATACAGGCGATTCTTAAAACCTGATGCTGATAAGCACATCCCACTAGAATCATGAAGAGGATAGAAATCTGTGATACAGTGCACCTTCTTGAGAATTATAAACACAAGTTCAGACATGTTTGCCATGCAAGAATTGGTTGTACATGCATGATAAATCCCAGTTAACTCTAGTGAACTGTTGACATAGGTAATGTGTATCTCAAATTAATCAAATGGGTATGATAACGAGTGCATTTGCTTCAGAAAGTAAGAGACAAGATTGGGCTTATGGTAATGTCTGACACTCACAGGGTAAAAGAGAGAACCTTTTTAGTGTTGTTGAGAGACAATTATGAGGGAATCACACCAAACTTCAGCATTGACATCATCGTCAACCTGGGTCCCATCACCGGCTGCCACAGAACCTAATCACCCAGAGGCTTGGGAAACCTGGAGTCAGTTTACAACCACGACCGTTCCAGGTGCTCTTCAGTACAGGTACTCGGGCCTGACAGAACTTGGGGCTCTGTCAATGAGTCTGAAATCTGAGTGCCTCGAGCTTTGTCTCAGTGTTTGTTCCCCTGTTTAGTTTCGTTTGTACTCTGACCCCTGTTTTGTCTTCTGACAGTGTTCCTGGATCACCCCTTGGCTTTGCTAACTGCATGTTTGTCAACCCGGCTCTGACCCTGGTATTGAACTTGGACTGGACCTCAACCTATTACCTGGAAATTCACCACAGTGTCTCCCTGGTTGCAACTGGTGCTTGTTTTGGATTTCGACCCTGGACTGTGTTTCCCTGCACCACGGTTGCCTGCATGCGAGACTACTCGGCTCACCATTAGCAAGCAGCCTGCTCCTCATTCCCAGAATGTGTGTTCCTTGCTCCCTCCCCCAGCTCCCTTGTGTCTCGGTAACGTGCAGCTCTGGGATCCCAAACTCAGCTGCTTTTTTGTCCAGCAAGTGGGTTTTCTAACACTCCTGGAGTGTCCCACCTGGGTAGCACACCATTAGACATGCTGGGAAACTCCAGTATGTCTGATTTCACAGACAAAACTCTTCTTCAGCATATTTTGTCCATTAAATCCAAAGTCAGTCAGAGAGATTGAAGGTTTACTCTAACTGAATGACCTTCTCTTGCTTGTAGCCTTTCTTAGTTCTTATTTGTATGTACTGTATAAGGGATCTATCCCATGGCTGTATGTATTGGTCAAATTTAACATTTATTAGCTGAGAAGATCCTTTGCTGCTCATCCTCTGGGTGCACTTGGAAGGTGAAAATAAGCCAAGGTATGACAAAAGGGGAGAAACTGAGGTTTCATATTAGCTTTCAACAAAATTTGTAAATTTCATAGTTCGAATGTATAAAACATGACAAAATACAATAGAGATCTATTTAAATTTATAGTAACAAGTACCATTACCATGTCCCTTGTGCTGCTCTTCATGTTCAACTATATCCATTTGTGTTATTAACTTTTCAAATACACACACTTCAAAGATCATTTATTGCTTGAGAAAGCTATCTACTACCCACAGCATTTGAAATTTTGGCTTCAACTTATTATCTGTAGCCACTTGCTTTGCCATGAGTCACATATTTATTTGTGAGCACTGCAGTTCAGCAGTGAAACACAGCATATGGATTTCTCTCTTTTCTAAAGAGCACAGAAATGGAAGTCTTAAAGCAAGTGTGGGAAGACAGACAATGGAGTGTAATAACAAGATTAGAAAGAGAAAATTTGATATTTCCTTTCTTCTTTTAAATAGGCCCATTAAACTGAATCCACTCTGATTAAACTATTAGTTGCATATTGTTGAACAATAATAAAAAACAACGTAACCCACATTAGCATAGCAATTTTAGTTTCACTTCTTAAAAAATATGTACAGTATTTATCCATATGATTCAATCTAAAGACACTGAAACTTTTATCATGAGTATCACTATTATAATGATTTGTAAATGGTTAATTTGTTTAGAAACCAGGTTTATAGATAAGCTTATACTATATTATAATGACCTTTATCTCAACAGAATGTGGTTTGGTTGAGGAAACTATTGACATCTTGTTATGGTAAATTACTGATCTGTTGACAACTGCAGATAAAAGAATGGAGATATTGCTATAATGGCATTAATGTTTGCTTTGATACACAGTGGTGCACTTTTTTCAAGAGAGACAAGAGTAGAATGAATTAACGCAGAAACAAGAAGTCATCAATGTTTTGTCACAAAGCAAAATTGTGTCAGATGAAAAAAACACGCGGCTTTAGAAAGTATCACTCTTTTTTACAGGAGGAAACTGCAACATGTGTAACTTCAGAATGTGCTATACTATCCACTCCTTCACCCATTTCCTATCTGTTTTATCCAGTTCAGGGTTGTAGGGGAGCCAGAGCCCATCCCAGCAAGCAACAGGCGCAAGATGGTATATCAGCTCTTTGCAGAATGCTCAACCACTAATGGAATAATCAACATTAAAATAGATCCTCACAATAGTTTTTCATTCCCTACTCTCCAAGATGGTACACTACATTAAAGAACAAAAGCTTGGTAATTTACTTATCATATATTTGTAACAACTTTATTTGGTCCTTCCAACTGATATATTTTAGGTTCAAACAGATAGATGTAAATGTTGTGCAAAAGCTCTGAAATGGCATTATTTGTCTTTATGAGAACCATACATTCACCTGCCTAATGGTTAGATTCCTGTTGTAACATTACCACATTTGGATTAACCTGACATGTAATTTTATGTATCTGCCTACAAACTAAAATGTGATATTATCCCAGAATTAGAAAATATTTTTAAATTCTTGTACAATAATGGTTTAAATAATGGTATAATGTATAATATGCATTTTTTATTGCTTCTGTTAAATGAATCCCACAAAGCTTTATTTTGTTCCCTTAAAAGGTAGAATATTTTGGTATTTTTTTACCAGTTCACTACAGGCTTAGAAAATTCAAACCAAACAGAACATAGACCTTTCATAGACCCTCTTTCATATAGTACTTGTTAACCTACTCTCACATGTCCAGCTTACTTCTCTTGAAATAATATGAAAGCTGAATGTACATATTCAAAGGCCACGTTAATTTAATTATCGATGTGTACTATTATCAATGTGTTGTAAGTAGTAATAGCTTCTCATCATATTCATGATTGTTAGGGAATTGCTCAGACGCAATAGTTTTATAGTAGATACACTTTTCTTCAATGTGAAAATTCCAAAGGTTAATTTCATGATTGGAGATCAGGAGAGAAGAATCATCAAACACAACTATTCTAACAGACAGAAGATGGAGAGCTACTGTACAGTACCAATAATGCTAATCATCTTCTTAAATTATATATAAAACAAAGATTAACATAAATATTAATGTTCCTTATTAAATTCATAGTGACCACTGCTAATTTAGTTAAGTATATAATACTGCACTAGTGATTTGTGCCAGTTCTTATTGGATTGCAGTGTTATACCTTATGCTGAGGTACCTGCCAAGTAACTCACACCTACACTGTTATGCAATGGTCTTTTTATTCTTCAACAAGAAAGATCACTATTATTGGGCAGCTGTTCTCCTAGTGTAGCCGATACATGATATCACCGCGAAAAAACGTTCTCTCTCCACCATTCTGCCATGTAATTTACAGTATTGTAATGAAATTTGGTAAACCAAATATCCCCTCAGCAGTTTTGTTTTGCCTCCATGCAATCTTTGGGAGAAACAAAAATGTGATGGAGCCCTTTTCCCCCTGCCACAAACAAAATCCCTAAGAAGCAAACAAAACCATGACAAATTAGCTCTTTTAAGAATCCTACTTAAATATTCTAAAACTCATTGCAGTATTTCAGAATTTAGAAGGAAAATATACTAATGTTACTGGCAACAGATCATAAAAATAAAAAAAATAATTTATTTTTAAAATATCCAAAATACCAGAAGTGGTCTTTAGGAGTCAGCAGTCCACACAGTGCAATACAGCATTTTCATGGCTGATGAAATGGCAATTCTAGACTACCAATTGATTATTTTTGTCCATTAAGAAATAGTTTTGTCTTAGGCTTAACCTTTTTGCAATATCCCTCTGTATTACTTCATTTTATGTGTACAACAACAGTCCTTTGGGATACATCGGGAATCCTTTGTGACAGTCAAATTTAAAAATTCTATGGAGAAAAATATTATACCTCTTTTATGGTACAATGAATACAAACAATGAACCACACAAAGTTTACTCACATTAATTTAACATACTGTACTTGTCCAAAAGATCACTTACTGATTATATAGAAATAGACATGAGATATACTGTATTATAATTGTGGCTTTTTATGATCTGACAGTATTCCTGAAATTGGACGCATTTGTCACTTTTGTTACAAAACACCAATAAATTCAATCTCTAGGTGATATGAGATGCTAAAGGTAAAAAAAAGACACTCATTCTTGAATTTCTAAGGCACAAGCAGAGAGCAAGTATTTTCCAAAGACATTTGAATGCTTCCTAAGGGAATGACTCCACTCATATTATAAGCAAAGCAGGAAGTAATTCATTTACACTTGATGCAAACTGGACATCTAACCAGTGGTGGTAAAAGCAGAGTGCATCAGAAAGACTTTTGATTTTGATTTCCTCAGATTATGTTACAATAAATATATTAATAGATTTGGGAGGAAGGGGGAAAAACAGACTTACCATCTTTTCTGTGATATGTTATTTCCACCTTTCTTTCATCAGAGCCAAGCAAAGCTTGGGCGACTTGGGCAATGTCATGTCTTTTGGTGTGCTGGCCATGAAGAAAGTCACATGTGCAGGGTTTCTGCATGACATCTGGTCTTGAAAAGCCAGTCATTTCACAAAATCCATCATTGCAGTAGATGATCGCACAGTTCTGTACTCTTGCATTGGCTATTATGAATTTTTTATCTGTAATGAAAGTCAACATGAGGTGTAATACACCAAGTTTATCACAATTATATTCATACTGAAACATTGTTGTAGTGCCAACATGGGAATTTTGCAGTAAACCGAACATCATATGTAAAAGACTATTCAAACTTAATAATTCAAAAGGAATTGATTTGTGAGTGAAATATTATAAAAGCATTTCACTTTTTAAATAAATTAACAAGCCTGTCCTGCAGATATGTTCGACTGGAATGAAAGTAACACATTCATTAATTCATTAACAAATCATTAATGGCTTCAGCACACTAAAATCTTGTAGTTATTTATACAATAGATATGAGAGAACACTACACTTATGTATAGCCTCTTATAATTTCTCTTCAGTTACTTGTTGATGATGTGTAACGTTTTTTCTCTCATTAAATGTTGTAATTTTTAAGAAAGGGTGTGCACACTCCAGTCCAAAATATTGTAGAGTATTACTTCCAGTGAGTGTGCTTTAATAGATAGGTTAAAGACTCCTGGTTAACTTACACATTTAAAATCTCTCTATATATTTATATAGTAGACACCCATAACATTCCCATTAAATATTAATTTGAATATTTTAAATGTAGATATAAAATACATTCTGTTGAAAGGAAACCCGACAAAAAAGCTCATTGAGACGAACATTTCTTACGCGCAACTGTATTCTAAACGTCACGTGTGAACTTAACCACTTTATTTCTGAACTGTCTCTAATTCGTGACTATATAACTGTTGTTCTTATAGTAAAGCGTTATGTTCTAACACACTTTCATATTTAGACTACAACTTTGGTACAACATAGTCCAGGAATGATTAAAAGGCTACTATTACATCATCTATTTTTGGCTTTCGGAATACACCCAATCACAGCTAATGCAAGTTGTCATATCAAATATAATACAGTAGTAAACAGAAAAAGAAAGGCTCCAGACCATAAATATTTTTAATTCAGTGCAATTAGTATGTAACATATCATAATTATTAACTCTGATATGATTATTTTCACTTTGCATTTTAACTAATTTCCTATTGTTTCAGGAATAATATTAAATATATTTAAATACACACATTTGTTCTATCGTTCAGCACTTTCGGTTAGTAAATGAAATCCAAAAATTACTTACTTTGTCCTTCGAATTTTCGTATAATAATGCCCAAAAATGTGTTTTGTGGCGCAACATGACCTCTTCGAACAGGCATGATTAAAGATCTTCAAATGCTCTGCTGTAAACAAACCGTTCGCTTGGTACCTTTGCTTAAGTTACTGTCTCTGTAGCTTGATGATCTCTCTTTTGTCACAAATCATCTTTATTTCAGCAAAAAGAAAATCTTTCCACTTCCGATTACCTTTCTTTTTTTTTATTTACAAGCTTCTTTGCCCGAGTACATGCCCGCGTCTTTCAGTGACACACCGACTCCAAAGACAGTAAATTAAAAAAATGGAAGAATCAGATTTTCTTATGCTAAACATTTCAAATTCAACCAAAAATGGATGCGATCTTGCCGTTCTCTGAAGCGATGTGATGGTAGGGAATGGAAGACTGAAGCTGATCTGCCAGGGGGAGTGACGTTACCCCCTCGGGGTTTAGTGCACAACGCTCAGCTTTGGCTACTCAAGCGAGGCTCAGCTGGAGCTGGCCAAGAAATTTTATATTCAGAATTTTAAGAGGGAAAGGTGCGCTATAACAAGGTTGAAATTCAGTTCTGACATAGCACGTGTGTATATTTTCATGTTAAATAGCTATGTATCTGGGAGAGAAAAAAGGAAGAACGACATTGCAGTAGCTGGTGAAAATCGTGAACTTCTCATTTTGATCAAGCTAAGAGAAGTCCCTCAGCTCTAGATGCATACAATATAAGCATTGCATATACATTATAACAGACACACTTTGTTTGTAACAGTAAAGTTAAAGCCGTTTTTAGTACAGCGTTTTCTCTTTTGGACGGCAGCTTCCTCAGGTTTTGTTTTCGATTAGTGACTTGTCCATGGTGCTGAAATCTGACAAACTACGAAGAAAAGTCAACGCAAATAATACTGAATTGTCAGCTTGTGTTTGACTCATCATTGCTGCTTCAAAAAAAACATTTGCAAGATATTTGCTGATAGTTTATTATTTATATAACATAAATTTCAATGATTCCTCACCCCAAATGACACAGAATCTCAGTTTTTTTGAGTGCGTTCAAATACAATTAATTCAGTAGAGACCGATGCATTACCGTTCGAGACGGCCTAAAGACTGACGGAAACTGGCGTAAAAATGTAAACGTTTGCAGAATGAAAACCCTCCTTATATCAACACTGACAAACATCTGGCTCTGTATTTCTAAGAGATTTCATGGCCCATCTGTTAGCCAGAAAAGACGAGCAGGACAAAACAAAAAGGACAAAGACACAAAGAAACACATTTAAAATGGAGAAAGAGACAAAGAATATTGCTGACGCAAAACGTATTATTTGTATCTCTAATGACAGCATAACCTTTCAATAGCTACTGTCATTTTGTTTCTTGCAATATAAATATTCATATGCATTTTTTGGGGGAATTGTAAACTTACTACCATTTTCACCTTCAAAGAAAATCTGTTTGCAGTAGTGAAGGCATTGCTATTTGTATCATATCCTGCCCAGCTATGAACGGCATTGAGCATATGTGGCCTATCCTCAGCTAAAGACTGTAAAAGCAGCTCAGTAAGTCTGAGACCACTTGGTCTCCAAGCAATTTCTAAGAATGTTTTTTTTTTCAAATTTGGAATTTTTCTTCTTAATATTCAGATACTATAAATACTAAGCAGGTTAAGCATATTTTAAATATAAGCCAACTTCCACTTAAAACAATGCAAGCACTCTGTACAGTCAAGAAAACAGATATTATGCACTTCAAAGAAAGCAATACAAGAGTATCTGATTGCTTAATCCTTAAATTTTATGATTAATTCATTTTCAAAAATTACATCATCAACTGATGTGACTATCATTTGAGAGGTACCTATCAACAGAAAAAAAAACAATGGAAAAAAACTGTTCTTCACAGTGGCTATAACAGTGGTCATAATAATGAAGCATTAATAAAATGCTCATTCATTATTTAATGATAAATTCACCAGAGCAGAAAATAGTTCAAATTTTGTGCTCTGCAACATCTGGAGCCATGACAGTTGGCCATTACATTACACTGCCTTAAACATATTCCTTATATAGATTATAGTTTCAAGTTTTTTTGTATCAGCTATTTGCACAATACTGAAAAAAAACCACAATTAAAGGAATAATAAGTTTTAAAAAACAAAGACTTTACTTTAGCAAAGTAAAAGCTAATTTAAGAGACATCCATAGGACCTAATAACTATTACAGCATCTATTTTAAACAGATGGTTAGTTGGTGTTTAATTTGGACGTGCCAATACTCAATATTGTTGTTATAACAAATTGCACTTCAACATCAAACCTTATGAAAGCAGAGAGAGCGTTATTGCTAAAAAGATTTGCGTGGATGTACAGCAAAAATGATAAATAGCTACAGTGGTGTGAAAAAGTGTTTGCCCCCTTCCTGATTTCTTATTTTTTTGCATGTTTGTCACACTGAAATGTTTCAGATCATCCAAAAAATTGAAATATTAGACAAAGATAACACAAGTAAAAACAAAATGCAGTTTTTAAATGAAGGTTTTTATTACTTAAGGAAAAAAAATCCAAACCTACATGGCCCTGTGTGAAAAAGTGATTGCCCCCTAAACCTAATAACTGGTTGGGCCACCCTTAGCAGCAACAGTTGCAATCAAGCGTTTGCGATAACTGGCAATGAGTCTTTTACAGCACTGTGGAGGAATTTTGGCCCACTCATCTTTGCAGAATTGTTGTAATTCAGCCACATTGGAGGGTTTTCGAGCCTTAACCGCTTTTTTAAGTTCATACCACAACATCTCAATCGGATTCAGGTCAGGACTTTGACTAGGCCACTCCAAAGTCTTCATTTTGTTTTTCTTAAGCCATTCAGAGGAGGACTTGCTGGTGTGTTTTGGATCATTGTCCTGCTGCAGAACCCAAGTACGCTTCAGCTTGAGCGTTAAAATATAAATCAACTGTAGTTTATCACATCTTTGGAAAGCTGAGTTCAATTTCTCTAGCCACACCCAGGCCTGGTTTGTATAGTTTAATCAGATATCAACCTTACTAGCATTTTGTGTGTTATAAAAATATCCAAATCAGTCCCACAAAATGGAATTCACAATAACCTTGAAATGTAATAACATGGACATGCACATCTTATAAAAGAAAGAAGTGTCTTTTTTACACCTTATGCAAATATATTACATATGAATTATGTGTTAAAAGAATACTTCAATTGTATTTTAATTTCACTTAGAGTTATAAATTACGTTACACCCTAATCATAATAATTTATTAATTATTAATATCTAATAATGATAAGTTGAAGGAACAGGTAAAAATTATAAGGCATGTCTGAGTTGCCAAAAATATAATATCATCTGGAAGTACTGATTATAATCATTGTATACTGAATAAAAGCAAATACAATTATGATAAATGGCAAAACGATCCTGTTTTGAGGCTGAAATGATATTGTAAACAGACAGCAGGTTCGGTAATAAAATAACACAAATGGCTTCTGCACTCTGTATTACACAGCTGTAAAGGGCAAAGATATCCTAGAGTATGAATCAAATTACATGACATTGTGACATGTTTAACGAGGCTTAATTTTTCTGTTCAGTATAGTGTTTGGAAATATTTTCCTGAAAATGAATAATAAATTGAACCTGTATGATTAGTTTGTGAATTAGATCATATTCTGTGGCAAAGTTACTAAATAAGTTTCTTTTCTAAAAAATGAAAGAATTGTCTTTTACATTAATACATTGAGCTTCGTATGGGTTAAATTAAAATAAAGAAACACATTGTATTTGGTTCACTGTTAACACACTCCTACATTATTTATAAAGGAATATTTTTTTAATTAATTTCTCTGTGTACTGGAACTGAACTGGCAGAGGGACGTTCATTGTGACAGGAAAGAGGAGGACACTGGTAGTACAGTAAGCGCTGTTGAACTGAGAAAGAGGGAAGTGGCTGGAAAGACATACAAAAGGAAGAAAAAGATGATATGAAGAGTGTAGGAGGAGAACACACACAACATGTTATCAGATGAGTCAGACAAAGATTGTAGCATGGATTGGAAAACTTTTTTTCTAGGTATTGTAGACTTCTTTTCCTTTACAATTGTTAATAATTCAAAGTGTGACTGTGGAATTATTAACAGATATTTTCCCCTGTTCAACACTAGAGGGCCCATCACCGAGGTTGCCCTCTAAAAATGTTTCATCAGCACCACCTGATTTTCTAATTAAGAAGCCTACTGTATATTACATTCTCACGCGACACCCCTTCATTAGTCCTAGAACCACACCATCGACTGTACAGCTATGGTACACTCTTTCATCTCTAAAAAACCCTTAGAGAATTCCTTCTATATTTTTCTCTAGAGCCTCACCATTTGCCCTAGCTCACCTTAGTGAAGAACCCTCTTTTTTGAGCCGACTACTCATCAGCTCTCTACCTCCTCTTGAGGTAACGACCCTCTAGTTCATGACAAGGCAGTCCGAAGACCCAAACTGTTACAAAACAAATTATATATCAAAATACAAACAGATATATCAAAACATTTATTGGAACATACTTGAGACAATATTTATGACTAAAATTCAGGTGATAATATAGCAAATAAATGAAAATAACAAATGAGTGCAGAAATGTTCAAAATCTTTTCTTTGGATTTTATTATATGAAATATGTTGTACAGAGCAATTTTTTAACCTCTGATTCATAAGAAACAACCAATAATGCACCCACTCTTCTCCTCTGATTGTACGGCTCTGGTCATGAGTTGTTGAATTAGTTCAAAACAATTTAACAGAGTTGCATTCTGTACCAATTTACTGTATGTGGAAGCTTCTGCAGTTAAAAGTTGAAGCCAATGATATGAACGATGTGTGTCAAGAATTTGTCACCCACACATGGTGAGGTCTGTAATGCAGAAATACATTGAAGCTTGGTTTCAAAATGTAACCCATTCCCTTGCAGCATTGATCTCACATCTTTCTTTGTTTTATAGTCAAGGAGCTTAGATTTGCTTCATGTACATAATACTGTATGTACAACATAGTACACATTTTATTTTGGGGTATTTCCTGTCATATACAGTATACTGTATGTATTTGATCTTTTTAGAACAAAAACCCACATTATATTCAACCCAGTGATTTTAAATATTGGTAAATGCCTGAGTAAATGCCTGAGTGTGTAAGTAAGTATTTAGTTGCATATCCCCTTGAGGCAATAATTGCATGAAGTTAGTGGCCCATTGAGGTCACTACAGTATTAGTAATCATTTGAGAGGTCGTCCCAAGTTTTTGTTGCAGCCACTTTGAGTTCTTGCCTATTCCTCCGGTGTTTTGATTTTCATATTTTCTTCAGCTTTTTTAAAATACATGCTAACTTGGATTTCCATCTGAAAAATTACTTGGCC